AGGTATATATATATATATATATATATATATATATATATATAATGTATATGTATGTGTGTTATCGGTTATCAGTTATCGGTATCGGCCTTTAGGAGCTGAAAGTTATCGGTATCAGTTTAAAAGAAAAGTTATTGTGCATCCCTAATTGAAGCGTATTTACTTGTACTTGTCTCTCTGTTTTTTCTCTTCATTATTTGACCTCCCCCAACTTTTTTACCACATTTTTTCTCCTACACACACTCTCTTTATGCTAACCTCACTCTACAGCCAGCTTTATTTGTTCTTTCTCTTCTTCTGTTCCTTTCCAGGTGTTCAGTGGTAAGCGTCCAGACGGAGGAGACTTCCCCCAGCAGGGCCAGCTGGCCTCCTCCTTTCGTAAGCTGTCTCCCACACCTCCACTGGGCCTCGGGGAGGGCGTCCTGGCCACACAGCCTGGTGGTGGCGCTCCTCTTGACGGGCAGCAGCAGGCTCTGACCTGCCTCATCCCAGAGAAGGACCTGACGCTGTTTGAGAAGCTGGGCGACGGCTCCTTTGGTGTAGTGAAGAGAGGAGAGTGGCTGACACCTTCAGGGAAAGTGGTGAGGAGACCTGCACTTTACATTTATTTAGTTGTATAAAACGTTGGAGTTATTTGTCAAAGAAAGAAGTGGAGCATGTGCACACTACTAAAGTTGTTTGTTTTGCATTAAACATGCAGCTTGTTTCCATTTTGTGCTGATGTAGGAATAAATCAAAGCAGGTGCATGAATCTGTGTACTCATACTGTCTTTACTCATATATAATTGCTCTTTTTTCTGGATTAATGAGATAATCTAATTGGTTCAGAACAAAGTATAGTGTACAAGATTATTATCTCATTAATTCAGACAACAAAGAGGATGTGTTTCTGTCCTAAATTTGGTTAAAATGTGTCTTAAAAGGCATTAAATTTAACTGTCTGATACCTGTAGACACCCTGTAATAATCCTATTAATTCCAAAAAACAGGGAGAATTTTTTATTTATTTATTTTTTTCATTTTAAATAAATGCTTTACGTTTCTGTTGATAAAAAACTAAACTAAACCCTCTTCCCTTGTTTCCAGCTGAACGTAGCTGTGAAGTGTCTGAAGACAGACGTGCTCAGCCAGCCCGACGCTCTAGAGGACTTCATCTGTGAGGTCAACGCCATGCACTCCCTGGACCACCAGAACCTCATTCGCCTCTACGGTGTGGTGCTCACACACCCAATGAAGATGGTAGTGGACACACAGAAAAACGCACACACACAGGGAGGAATATATACACACACATCAGTCAGCCTGTACTCTCACTTACACCCACACACACTTAACACAAATGCCCCTCTCTGGCACTCTTAGCCTGCCTCTTGAACTTAAGTCTATTGAAATCAGGTCAAGTGTATTAAAAGGTAACTTTCATAACCTGGACCCTTTTTCCCATGTTTTTGTGTCTAATGTTTTGCTCACATTGGGGGTGAATAAAACAATTAGTGCAAGTGAATTACATGTAAAGTCAATGTGAAGATGCAATTAGACACGATGGATGCGACCCAGAGGACACGAAATATGCGAATTAAGCGGTGTCAATAAAGTGAGTAGTGCGATTTCGTGTCATGCTCTTATTCCCAGTTGAAAAATTGGAACTTCAGCGACCAATTCGTGCTGCGATAGCCAACCGGTATTGAGATCCTTTGGGGACGTTTCGGGGGGACGATTTGCTTCGCTTTTGGTGTGAACACAACATAAGCAACTAATGGGAACAACAATGTCTAAATGGGATTAGTATTGAGCGAGAGCGCTGCAGGTAGTGATGAAACATGCTGCAGTGTAACATTAATAGGCAATGGTATACTGTCAACTTACGTCCACTAAAAGTGTTTGTTTTTGCCACTGACAGGCTCAGATTGTTATTTTAAGTGTCTGACAACATTATGGAAAGGATCCCTACAGAGATAGACCTTTTTGTTAAACCAACTACAGCCCCGAAACCGCCATCGCCTACCAAACCTACCAAACTCCATTTAAGTAATTTTATCATCATTAAACACATTTCATTCAAAGTCACCAGAAGCAAAATAAAACTCACAAAAGTAATTCTGGTTCATCTTCCCACGGTTCCAGCAATCACCAGCTCTGGTTTGGTTGAAATAAACCCTTAATTCATCCAGTTAGATGTGAAAATATGCTGGCTCTATACACACTAAAATTTCTGTTGATTTAAATGAAGTCTGGTGGGTTTGATGATAGCGATTTTGAGGCTGTTTCTGGTTAAATAAAAATGATCCTACTCTGTAACAAAAATGTCTGTCTCTGTAGGGATCCTTTCCATAATGTTATCGGACACTCAGAATAATATTCTGAGCCTGTCAGTGGCAAAAACAAACCGTTTGAGTGGACCCAAATTGACAGTGCGAATATGCACTGAGTGGTTTCATTGCAGCCAGCTGCAGCGCTCTTGCTCAGCACTGGACCAATTTCAAAAACCGCTGTCTCCATTAGTCACTTAGACACAAAAACATGGGCAAATAGGGTCTAGGTTACCCTTTAGGGTCTTTGTCATGAGGGTAGACAGTGAACAAAGAGAGAATGAGACAGGAAGGGAGAGGAAGACTAAAATTAGGGCTGACATTTTAGCCTTGTTGTTTTCATGCTGTTACCTTCTAGTTATTTCCTCTGGCATAAGTTTAATGTATACTGCCTTTTTTTTTTTTGGATCATGTTATGATTACCAATTGCCAACGTCTCTTTCTCTGCTTTAGTGTTTTCTGTTACATTCTTCTACATCATTCTTCCTCTTCGTGTCCTTCTGCTTTTTGCTGCCATACTCCTCTTTTCACCCACTCTGTCTCCTCCTCCTCTCTCCGTGTCCTGAAGGTGACCGAGCTGGCTCCTCTGGGTTCTCTGCTGGAGCGTCTGCGATGTGTTCGTCCACAGGGCCCAGTGTTGATCCACACTCTGTGTCAGTATGCCGTACAGGTGGCCTGTGGCATGGCCTATCTGGAGCAGAGGAGGTTCATCCACAGGGACCTGGCAGCCAGGTAGGGGCACAAAACTTTTTAAGGTGGACTTTACACATTTCAGCAGCTGTGAAAAGGTCAAGACTTATTCTTTAAAGAGGATGTATTCTCACAGTCTCTATAAAACCTGTTTTTCTTTCAGGGATTTTTTTTTTTTTTTTTTTTTTTTTTTTTT